AGTAATATGTCGCTAAAGGACTTATAATATAGCGCTGAATAGCTGTCCGGGCCAGGGCACTTGTTGGGTTTAAGGGAACCAAGAGCCGCTGCCAGCTCTATCTCGGTGACTTCGGTGGAGAGCAGTTGTTTTGCTGTGTTGGAGAGTATGGGTAGTTGTAGCTTTTGGAGGAATGTAGTGGTGAGAGTATGTATGCGGTCTGTTTGGGGGTGTGGGGTGTGATTGTATAAATTTGCGAAATAGGATTGGAAGACTTCGCCAATTTTCACTGGGTCATCGCTTAGGATGCCGTCCGCAATGCATGTTTTAGAGATCTTCTTTGCTTCTATGGTGCGTTTAGGTTTGCGGGCTAGCATGGTATCTGCCGTATTACCTTTCTCATAATATTTTTGTTTTGTCCAGAGAAGGGCTTTCGCTGTGTCTTTCAGTGAGTTCTCTGGTAGCATTAAGTTGTTCTAAGTTTGCAGGGGTCGGGTTTTGTTTGTGAACGTCTTATAAGCAGTCGAGGTCGGACATGGCTCGGAGCATTTGGGTATGTTTTTTCTTGGAGGATGCTATGGCAATCAGTCTCCCCCAGATCACCACCTTGTTGGCTGCCCACAGAGTCATCGGGGAGGAAACTGAGTATTTATTAAGTGTCTCGGATGTCCTTTGCAATCGTGTCTGTGTTCAGTTTATCATGGAGCAGTAGAGGGTTGAGTCTCCAGGTCCATGGTCACAAGATTGTGGTCACAGATATGGTAACGGATATGTCGGCGTGGTCCAACCATGTGATGTTGCCTATGGAGGTGCGGTCTGCATTAGTGGCTAGGTTAGGGGAGATCAGGAAGTAGTCTATGTGGGAGTAGGTGTTGTGTGGGTGGGAGAAAAATGTGTAGTCTGCCATTAAAGGGTGTTGCGCTCACCAGATGTCAATTAGGGTATGCGAGCTCAGGAATTGGGAGAAGAGAGTGTCATTTGCCGATGGCCACAATCCCCCCAACCCAGACCTGTCTGTTGGGGGGGGGGGAATAGACTGCATTACAGTCTCCTCCTGTTAATGTGTGTGTTGCCGCGAGTGATGCTAGATGGATAGAGAAAAGAGTAAAGAATGCATGATCTTGGGTGGATGGGGAATATATAGATGTGGTGTTGTACTTTTAAAAACAAAAAAAACAAAACCGTTTGAAAACAAGTAAGTTCAATGTTCTCCAACTTGAGCTAGATAGGTAAAATGTTGCAATTTGCTTGTTGATTGACCACTCATTTCTAATTATTGAAAGCATTTAGAAAAATAGTAAGAATCATGCGAGACAATCTAATATCACTGCGTGGGGAATGTAAAGAAAGACGATAAAGGCTCAAGATGTGGGCTAACGAGCTAATACTCTGCTGGAAATTAAAGTATAAATGTGAATATAGTAACAAAATAAAAGTAATCCTTAGCAGTGAAGTCATAATAGGTGATGTCATAAATGTAACTATAGCTGCCTGAACATTCTACTTTATCCCAGTTATATCCAAAGCTCTGACACAGTGACTGACTGACACAGTGTGTCTATGGGTGTCATTATCTCAATGGCATACAGATCTATGCTTCAGCTGGATATGTCCAAAGACTTGGAGTTGGATTAACCTCGATCTGATCTGAAGCAATGGAGATTCTAGCAGGGGAGCATTATATTTTGGCTACTTGTAAACCCTTTGTCAAATATTGTAGTTTCTTCAAAAGGGGATGAACATCATTCTAAGCTTTGTGCTTGCTACATTGGGAAGTTTGGATGGGGATAGGTAAAGAGCAGATTGCCTAGTGTCTATATATCTCTCTGTCTGCCTTCCTGTCTGTGTTTTCTTTCCTTCCCATTTGCCTTCCATCTGTATGATCTTCTGTCACTTTAATTTGCCTCTTAATGCCCAGAGGAAAGTGCAGTCCTCCAACTCATGGCTACAACTACCCATACTCTCCAACACAGCAAAACAACTGCTCTCCACCGAAGTCACCGAGATAGAGCTGGCAGCGGCTCTTGGTTCCCTTAAGAAAGGAAAAGCAGAGTGAGGAAAGAAGAATATGTGGGAGAGAGAGAGATTATTGAGACATTTGCAATTTGGAGATGGATAACGCAAGCCAGACTGGGATAAGATTTCCCCAAAGTGGACATGCCAGTATGATGCCACTCCAAAGCAGCCCATGCTGAAGGGGATAGGGATTGTGTAGATTGGGACTGTAGTGTATGTTGGAGGATATGATTGTATTGTGGGTATTGTCTGTTTTGGGGGATTGTGGGATATGGCCTGTATTGTGTATTTCTGAGGGGATATTGTCTGTAGATTGTATGTGGGAGGTACATCGAGCTTTAGTGTATGTATGGTGGGTTATTGGCTGATGTGTGTGTTATGAGGGGATATGATGTAGGCTTGTGTGAGTGTCTGTAGGATGTGGGGTATAGACTCTATGGTGGAAAGTAGGAGATTGTATTAAAAAAAAAAAAAATTTTTTTTTTAACCCCTTAAGGACACATGACATGTGTAACATGTCATGATTCCCTTTTATTCCAGAATTTTGGTCCTTAAGGGGTTAAATCACATCTTTCAAAAATGTTTTTCACCTCCTCCATGTGGCTTACTTTGGGCCACAGAGGGAAGAAAAAGCAAACACTGGGTTCCCTCTTCCTGGCATTATACAGTGCAGGCTGGTAAGGGAGATCTTTGATCTTCTCATTTGCCGCACAACTCCGCCATTGGGGAGGCGGTCAACTAGTACAGGCCATGCATGGGCTGGCCAGAAAGATCCTCTAATCATCCCTGTTGGTCCTGATTTGTCCAGTTTGTACAACAGAGAGCCTGTGCCTGGGGAGAGAGCCTAGTGCCTATGTGACTCTCTGTCTGCATTTCTGTCTGTTTTCTTTTCTTCCTGTCTGCCATTTTAAATCTCTCATAGAAACATTCTATGTTTCTAATAAACTCTCTGTATTTGCCTATTAATGCCCAGAGGGAATGGCAATCTTTCAAACCATGGTTACCCAGAGGTTTTATCCATAGCACATTTGTTTACAATCTATTAACCTGACTATGAGCAACCCATTACCAGGTAAGGTAGCATGGAAAACAGATAGCACCATAGTCCTTATGTTCAATGGCTGCTTGCTCATATTAGTGAAGACAGGAATGCACAATGTGACAAATGTGAAAGATATAAAAAACAGACATCCCAGGAACTAGAAGTAAAAGAAAAACATATTAGAAAACATTATTATAAAACTATACTAAACAAGTAAAAAAATGTATCAAAACATGAAAATTGGGTATACATGCACGCGTACACACACACACACACACACACGTGTATATAAGTAGCAGTGTTTATGTGCTGACTTTAAACAATATACATTGTAATTCAGTAAAGTCTCCTATCAACTAACATATCAGTTGCAATGACATCAATTTCTTTCATTTAGCTAAAAGATTCAATGTATATTATGTATATTTCACTTTAACTTGCACCGACAAACTTCAATACTTAGTAAGACAATGAGCCTAAGCATGGGTAACAATAATTATTTAAAGTGGTAGTGGAGGGCAATTGTTTTTGGAGCATACCTGAGCAAAATTCTTAATCACATAATTCCATCTGATATAAGAGGTTCTAAATAGATACAAGAAGAAGTAGTTATTACATGTGAAATAGAAGAAAATAATACCTTGATGGTTTCTTTTAAAATGTTAGTACAACAGACTATTGAGATCCATCATTTCGACTAAATCCTATATAATCATCATAAAAAAAATCTACATTTTGCTCAAAAAAAGTTATATTTAAAAAAAATAAAATAAAAAAATAGTTATTAGACAGAGAGTTGTTCTCTCGATCAACATTATTAAGGTTACATTTTATGATCATTATCACCCTATGAGTTACAAAGCTTTATAACAGTAAAAGGAACATTATAACAAAGAATTACAAATCATAACAGTTTACAATATCGTTACCTAGCCATCCAGAGGTGTTACCTTGGGTAGCTGTCTCTATATATTAGCGTTGGGCAGAATAGAAAATAAAGATAACTTGAAAGTTTGGGAAGCTGCTCCGGATTCCCTACAAGACGAAGAAAGACGGCTTTTTGAAGTGGAAAAAGATGACTTTAGGTCAGTATTTAAATGTGTGAAATCAGGTAATCTCTTCAACAATTGTTTTTTATTCCACTAAATATTTACCATTAAACCATGTTCTACCACCAATCCCAAATTCCCACTAGTATTACAAGGCCCTCCAGGGATAGAAGAGTTTATAGGCACTAACAGCATAAGGAGTACAAAAGAAATTGCAGTGTCTTGCAATGTTACCAAACAGTGTTGGGGACATGTATGAAGTCACAGAACTGCATAAGATTTTAATGAGCATTCAGAAAGTCACTTGGAGCTCTGTATTATATCTGCATTAAGAGCGCTACTATATATATTGTGAATCACCAGCATATATGGTGTTGTACTTTGGATAGTTTTAAACCATAGCATGGTTTGTGATCCAAAGGGACCAGTAATCAGAAACCAGTCATTATCTGTACAGCTACGACCATATGGGTGTCATAAGTATGGTACCAGGTTCACGGTGAGACCAAACACAACAAAACTCTGCACAGTACATATACGAAAAATATTGCTGTGTATCACGTCATGTTGGTGCAGGCCTTAAATTGGGCTTTGGGCACAGAAACTTAAGAAATAATGTTCTACGACTTTCCCAGAGTTCCCAGCTTGACATGCAGTACAGACCAGCATAGTGTTTCAGACTATCCTTAGCAATGGACACTTTTTAAGACAGCTTTTTTTCCAACACCATAGAATGGCTTGTGATCAGGGGCGGACTGACCACTCGGGCACTTCGGTCATGGATCGAGGGCCCGAGGCAGTCAGGGGCCCGGCAGCACAGCCATGCTCCAGCTGGAGAGATCAGAGATCTCTAATCACCCCCCCACTGTCACTAATCACCCTCTGTCACTAGTCACCCCCTCCCTCCCTCTGTCACTAGTCACCCCCTCCCTCTGTCACTGATCATCCCCTCCCTCACTCTGTCACTAGTCACCCACTCACTCTAGTGACAGAGTGAGGGAGAGGGTGACTAGTGACAGAGGGAGGGGGTGACTGGTGACAGAGTGAAGGAGGGGATGACTAGTGACAGAAGGAGGGATGGGGTGACACAGTGACAGAGTGCGGGAGGGGGTGACTAGTGACAGAGTGCGGGAGTGGGTGACTAGTGACAGAGGGAGGGATGAGGTGACTAGTGACCATCACCCCCTCCCTCATTCTGTCACTAGTCACACCCTCCCTCACTAGTCACCCTCCCCTGTCACTAGTCACCCCTCCCTCACTCTGTCACTAGTCACCCATTCCCTCCCTCACTCTGTCACTAATCACTACCTCATTCTGTCACTAGTCACCCTCTCCCTCACTCTGTCACTAGAGTGAGGGAATGACTGGTGACATAGTGAGGGAAGGGGTGGCTAGTGGCAGAGTGAGGGAAGGAAGGGGTGACCGGTGACAAAGGGAGGGGATGACTGGTGACCGAGTGAGGGAGGGGGTGACTAGTAACAGAGTAAGGGACGGAGGGGGTGACTAGTGACAGAAGGAGGGAAGGAGTAGTGACAGAGGGAGGTGGTGACTAGTGACAGAGTGAGGGAGGTGGTGACTAGTGACAGTCACCACCTCCCTCACTCTGTCACTAGTCACCACCTCCCTCACTCTGTCACCTGTCAGCCCCTCACTCTAGTGACAGAGTGAGGGAGGGTGTGACTAGTGACAGAGGGAGGGAGGGGGTGACTAGTGACAGAGGGAGGGAGGGAAGGGGTGACTAGTGACAGAGTGAGGGAGGTTGTGATTAGTGACAGAGGGAGGGATGGGGTGACTAGTGACAGTCACCACCTCCTTAACTCTGTCACTAGTCACCCCCTCCCTCACTCTGTCATTGTGTCACCCCCTCCCTCACTCTGTCACTAGTCACCCCCTCTCTCACTCTGTCACTAGTCATCCCCTTCCTTACTGTCACTAGTTACCCCCTCCCTCTCTCTGTCACTAGTCCCACCCTCCCTCACTCTGTCACTAAAGTGAGGGGGTGACTAGTGACAGAGTGAGGGCATGACAGGTGACAGAGGGAGGGGATGACTGGTGACCAAGTGAGGGAGGGGGTGACTAGTGACAGAGTAAGGGACGAAGGGGGTGACTAGTGACAGAAGGAGGGAAGGAGTAGTGACAGAGGGAGGTGGTGACTAGTGACAGAGTGAGGGAGGTGGTGACTAGTGACAGTCACCACCTCCCTCACTCTGTCACTAGTCACCCCTTCCTTCCCTCACTCTGCCACTAGTCACCCCCTCACTCTAGTGACAGAGTGAGAGAGGGTGTGACTAGTGACAGATTGAGGGAGGGGGTGACTAGTGACAGAGTGAGGGAGAGGGTGACTAGTGACAGAGGGAGGGGGTGACTGGTGACAGAGTGAAGGAGGGGATGACTAGTGACAGAAGGAGGGATGGGGTGACACAGTGACAGAGGGAGGGATGGGGTGACAGAGGGAGGGATGGGGTGACACAGTGACAGAGTGCGGGAGGGGGTGACTAGTGACAGAGTGCGGGAGTGGGTGACTAGTGACAGAGGGAGGGATGAGGTGACTAGTGATCATCACCCCCTCCCTCATTCTGTCACTAGTCACACCCTCCTCATTTCAGTCATTTCCTTGTCACTAGTCACCCCTCCTCACTCTGTCACTAGTCACTCATTCCTCCCTCACTCTGTCACTAATCACTGCCTTATTCTCCTGTTACTAGTCATTCTTTCCCTCACTCTGTCACTCAGAGTGAGGGGAAATGACTGGTGACAGAGTGAGGGAAGGGGTGGCTAGTGGCAGAGTGAGGGAAGGAAGGGGTGACCGGTGACAAAGGGAGGGGATGACTGGTGACCGAGTGAGGGAGGGGGTGACTAGTAACAGAGTAAGGGACGGAGGGGGTGACTAGTGACAGAAGGAGGGAAGGAGTAGTGACAGAGGGAGGTGGTGACTAGTGACAGAGTGAGGGAGGTGGTGACTAGTGACAGTCACCACCTCCCTCACTCTGTCACTAGTCACCCCTTCCTTCCCTCACTCTGCCACTAGTCACCCCCTCACTCTAGTGACAGAGTGAGAGAGGGTGTGACTAGTGACAGATTGAGGGAGGGGGTGACTAGTGACAGAGTGAGGGAGAGGGTGACTAGTGACAGAGGTAGGGGGTGACTGGTGACAGAGTGAAGGAGGGGATGACTAGTGACAGAAGGAGGGATGGGGTGACACAGTGACAGAGGGAGGGATGGGGTGACAGAGGGAGGGATGGGGTGACACAGTGACAGAGTGCGGGAGGGGGTGACTAGTGACAGAGTGCGGGAGTGGGTGACTAGTGACAGAGGGAGGGATGAGGTGACTAGTGACCATCACCCCCTACCTCATTCTGTCACTAGTCACACCCTCCCTCACTAGTCACCCTCCCCTGTCACTAGTCACCCCTCCCTCACTCTGTCACTAGTCACCCATTCCCTCCCTCACTCTGTCACTAATCACTACCTCATTCTGTCACTAGTCACCCTCTCCCTCACTCTGTCACTAGAGTGAGGGAATGACTGGTGACATAGTGAGGGAAGGGGTGGCTAGTGGCAGAGTGAGGGAAGGAAGGGGTGACCGGTGACAAAGGGAGGGGATGACTGGTGACCGAGTGAGGGAGGGGGTGACTAGTAACAGAGTAAGGGACGGAGGGGGTGACTAGTGACAGAAGGAGGGAAGGAGTAGTGACAGAGGGAGGTGGTGACTAGTGACAGAGTGAGGGAGGTGGTGACTAGTGACAGTCACCACCTCCCTCACTCTGTCACTAGTCACCACCTCCCTCACTCTGTCACCTGTCAGCCCCTCACTCTAGTGACAAAGTGAGGGAGGGTGTGACTAGTGACAGAGGGAGGGAGGGGGTGACTAGTGACAGAGGGAGGGAGGGAGGGAAGGGGTGACTAGTGACAGAGTGAGGGAGGTTGTGATTAGTGACAGAGGGAGGGATGGGGTGACTAGTGACAGTCACCACCTCCTTCACTCTGTCACTAGTCACCCCCTCCCTCACTCTGTCATTGTGTCACCCCCTCCCTCACTCTGTCACTAGTCACCCCCTCTCTCACTCTGTCACTAGTCATCCCCTTCCTTACTGTCACTAGTTACCCCCTCCCTCTCTCTGTCACTAGTCCCACCCTCCCTCACTCTGTCACTAAAGTGAGGGGGTGACTAGTGACCGAGTGAGGGGATGACTGGTGACTGAGTGAGGGAGGGGGTGACTAGTGACAGAGTAAGGGACGGAGGGGGTGACTAGTGACAGAAGGAGGGAAGGAGTAGTGACAGAGGGAGGTGGTGACTAGTGACAGAGTGAGGGAGGTGGTGACTAGTGACAGTCACCACCTCCCTCACTCTGTCACCAGTCATCCCCTCACTCTGCCACTAGTCACCCCTCTAATGACAAGTGAGAAGGTGACGAAGTGACAGGTGAGGAGAAGTGACTAGTGACAGAGTGAGGGAGAGGGTGACTAGTGACAGAGGTAGGGGGTGACTGGTGACAGAGTGAAGGAGGGGATGACTAGTGACAGAAGGAGGGATGGGGTGACACAGTGACAGAGGGAGGGATGGGGTGACAGAGGGAGGGATGGGGTGACACAGTGACAGAGTGCGGGAGGGGGTGACTAGTGACAGAGTGCGGGAGTGGGTGACTAGTGACAGAGGGAGGGATGAGGTGACTAGTGACCATCACCCCCTACCTCATTCTGTCACTAGTCACACCCTCCCTCACTAGTCACCCTCCCCTGTCACTAGTCACCCCTCCCTCACTCTGTCACTAGTCACCCATTCCCTCCCTCACTCTGTCACTAATCACTACCTCATTCTGTCACTAGTCACCCTCTCCCTCACTCTGTCACTAGAGTGAGGGAATGACTGGTGACATAGTGAGGGAAGGGGTGGCTAGTGGCAGAGTGAGGGAAGGAAGGGGTGACCGGTGACAAAGGGAGGGGATGACTGGTGACCGAGTGAGGGAGGGGGTGACTAGTAACAGAGTAAGGGACGGAGGGGGTGACTAGTGACAGAAGGAGGGAAGGAGTAGTGACAGAGGGAGGTGGTGACTAGTGACAGAGTGAGGGAGGTGGTGACTAGTGACAGTCACCACCTCCCTCACTCTGTCACTAGTCACCACCTCCCTCACTCTGTCACCTGTCAGCCCCTCACTCTAGTGACAAAGTGAGGGAGGGTGTGACTAGTGACAGAGGGAGGGAGGGGGTGACTAGTGACAGAGGGAGGGAGGGAGGGAAGGGGTGACTAGTGACAGAGTGAGGGAGGTTGTGATTAGTGACAGAGGGAGGGATGGGGTGACTAGTGACAGTCACCACCTCCTTCACTCTGTCACTAGTCACCCCCTCCCTCACTCTGTCATTGTGTCACCCCCTCTCTCACTCTGTCACTAGTCATCCCCTTCCTTACTGTCACTAGTTACCCCCTCCCTCTCTCTGTCACTAGTCCCACCCTCCCTCACTCTGTCACTAAAGTGAGGGGGTGACTAGTGACAGAGTGAGGGCATGACAGGTGACAGAGGGAGGGGATGACTGGTGACCAAGTGAGGGAGGGGGTGACTAGTGACAGAGTAAGGGACGAAGGGGGTGACTAGTGACAGAAGGAGGGAAGGAGTAGTGACAGAGGGAGGTGGTGACTAGTGACAGAGTGAGGGAGGTGGTGACTAGTGACAGTCACCACCTCCCTCACTCTGTCACTAGTCACCCCTTCCTTCCCTCACTCTGCCACTAGTCACCCCCTCACTCTAGTGACAGAGTGAGAGAGGGTGTGACTAGTGACAGATTGAGGGAGGGGGTGACTAGTGACAGAGTTAGGGAGGGAAGGGGTGACTAGTGACAGTGAGGAAGGGGGTGACTAGGGACAGAGTGAGGGAGGTCGTGACTAGTGACAGTCACCACCTCCCTCACTCTGTCACTGTGTCACCCCCTCCCTCTGTCACTAGTCACCCACTCCCTCCCTCCCTCTGTCACTGGTCACCCACTCCCTCCCTCCCTCTGTCATCAGTCATCCCCTCACTCTGTCACTAGTAACCCCTTCCTTCCCTCACTCTGCCACTAGTCACCCTTTCCCTCACTCTGCCACTAGTCACCCTTTCCCTCACTCTGTCACTAGTCACCCCCTCACTCTAGTGACAGAGAGGGAGGGTGTGACTAGTGACAGTGAGGAAGGGTGTGACTAGTGACAGTGAGGGAGGGTGTGATTAGTGACAGAGTGAGAGAGGGTGTGACTAGTGGCAGAGAGAGGGAGGGGGTGACTAGTGACAGAGTGAGGGAGGGAAGGGGTGACTAGTGACAAAGGGAGGGATGGGGTGACTAGTGACAGTCACCACCTCCTTCACTCTGTCACTAGTCACCCCCTCCCTCACTCTGTCACTGTGTCACCCCCTTCCTCACTCTTTCACTGTGTCACCCCCTTCCTCACTCTCACTAGTCACTAGTCACGCCCTCTCTCACTCTGTCACTAGCCACCCCCTCTCTCACTCTGTCACCAGTCATCCCCTCACTCTGTCACCAGTCACCCCTTCCTTCACAGTGACAGAGTTAGGGAGGGAGAGACTAGTGACAGAGAGAGGGATGAGGTGACTAGTGACAGAGAGAGGGATGGGGTGACTAGTGACAGAGTGAGGAAGGGGGTGACTAGTGACAGAGTCAGGAAGGGGGTGACTAGGGACAGAGGGGGTGATTAGTGACAGAGTGAGTGAGGGGGTGACTAGTGACAGAGTGAGGGAGCGGGTGACACAGTGACAGAGTTAGGGAGGGAGTGACTAGTGACAGAGAGAGGGATGGGGTGACTAGTGACAGTCACGCCCTCCCTCACTCTGTCACTAGTCACTAACTCCCTCTGTCACTAGTCACTCCCTCACTCTGTCACCAGTCATCCCCTCACTCTGTCACCAGTCATCCCCTCACTCTGTCACTAGTCACCTCTTCATTCCCTCACTTTGCCACTAGTCATCTCTTTCCTCCCTCACTCTGCCACTAGTCACCCATTCCCTAACTCTGTCACTAGTCACCCCCTCTCCATCCCTCTGTCACTAGTCACCCACTCCCTCATTCTGTTACCAGTCACCCCCACTCACTGTGTCTCCCCCTCACTCTGCCACCACTCAACCCCTCCCTCCCTCACTCTGCCACCAGGTACCCCCTCACTCTGCCACCTGTCACAACCTCCCACACTCTTCCACCTGTCACCTTCTCCCTCAAACACTCTGTCACCTGTCACATATGCATTCACACAGACACTATATACAAAAAAGCACCTGTAGTCATCCAGACATGCACAAGTGCATTCACACAGACTCAAATACAAACATGCATTGATACACAGGTATTCGCAATATACACATCCAAAGGAATGCCGTTTTATGAGTTATATTTAACATTTATTTAATGCACATATATTTGGCCTTCAAAGGGCCTGGGATCTAATTTTGCCCGGGGGCCCCAAAGGCTCTCAGTCCGCCCCTGGTTGTGATCCAAATAAACAAGTGACCAGAAACTGACTGTAAAGTCTTGTCAGCTTGGCAAGAGTTCTGGTCTGTAAAATGCAGTCTTTCTTAGAGCATATAGCTAGGTGTCAAACACTAAAATATACACAGTATAGCTAGAAGCCAGACAGAATAAAACTCCCCATACTGCAAATAGAAAAAGTACTAGTGGGTTACCTTCATGTCTCAAGTTGGACCTAGCTCTCTCTCGCTTTATATAGATATATTACGTTACATATCCCCATACATACCGGTATATCTAATTTGTTGAAGTTTTGCCACTTTTATACCATAATTAGTAGATTTGTTTCCATGATTCCACAGTTTCCTTAGGACATATTATGTAATGTTATATTGTTCCATTGATGACTTTGCTATATATCTATTTTCCCTACAAATGACAAACCCTCCCTTCTCCATGACGTACTCTCTTTCCGAATCACAGATGGAACAGTCTCTCGTAAAAAGGAGTAGGTCTTCATCAGAAAACGAACCTAAATTGAAAAACCAAGTGTAAATACAAAAAAAAAAAAAAGAAGAAGATTGATGGTAGACACAGAGCTGTGTGATCAGAAGATTCTCTACTTTTTTTTACTTTAAGAACTTTTGTGTTATTATCAGAGAATTGAAGATTATATTAGCTTTAGTGTACTAATAATCTTAATTTTAGTAATGACAGGAGGCGAATATTTGCATATCTTTCTTTACTGAAAACTCCAGCAGCATAGAAACATAACAACCAATCAGAAAAAAGTTATGATGCCCATAAAAGGCCCTGTCTATGACATCACTTCCTCTTTCTTTGAAGCGAAACAATAAATAACAACAAGAGACATAATCATATTACGTCAACAGTTCAACAACATATTAGAATATCCAACTCCATTAGTTCCGCGATGCAGAGGTGTGGAAGGTGAATCTTTGTCTCGATGAGAAGACGTTCACGCTGCAAGAAAAAGAAAAAGGTGAAAGGTATCTGGCGTGATAACTTGTCCGCATACAATAAGCATTAAGCATCTGATATACCAACGAGCATTAGAATGTGAAACATATCAATATATATTTATTCGAACACAATGATATTTAAGAATCTATAAACACAACATAATGCAAGGTTCATGTCTAATATTCAGCCAATACAAGACCCACAAGATACAGGTCTAAGTAGCAAACATACAAACCATACGTACTTACCTTCCTGAACATAAAGGACATATTCTGTTCAACACGAGAAAACATGGGAGGGATCCTATAGGGTGGGAAATATTCACCTCCTGTCATTACTAAAATTAAGATTATTAGTACACTAAAGCTAATATAATCTTCAATTTTACCACATGACAGGAGGCTTCATATTTGCATTTTTAAAGCTTTGAATTGACCAATGTGAAGGAAGCATGAGATGTTTGCCGAAAATAGAACGTTCTAAACGTACTCTCTCGCGCTCAGTCCGCGCAGCGTATAATGTCGGCTAGGGAAGCGTCGGCCGAAAATGGTTTGTGAGGCCGCCGCTCCCCTGACCCAGTGGGCTCCGAAACAAGGTTCGACGCTAAAGACAAAAACCAGCAGACCCATCTGGCCAGTGTTGCGGTAGACACCGGTCCATGAGGGTTCACGTAAGAAGTCAGAAGGTGATCCGTCTAATGAGTTCGAAGGGGGTAGAGATATTGGTGTACCCCATTAGCGTTCTGACCACGCATAGTGTGGCGTCTGACACAAAGCATGGGTATGACACTGAAGACGAATCAGACTTAGTTCGTCTCGACATGGTAAAGGTAACCCCGTCTGGTGTGAGAGAGAAACCATCCATATCGCAAGCCCTAACGTCCGCCACCGTCTAAATGAGGCGAGGCATAATAAGAGGGCTAGTTTGGCTGAAAGTTGCTTCAGTGACAAACAAGGATTGTCCGGCCATTCCCTAAGGAATCTCAGCACCACATCCACCTGCCAGAGGCGTGAATATTTGGGTGCAGGGATCTCGACAATTCGGCACCCCGCAGTAGTCGACAAACCAGTGTATCTTGACCTACTGGTCTGTCCTGTACCGGAACGTGCGCCGCCGATATGGCGGATCTGATCACGTTGAGGGATCGATATGACCGACCCAACGAGACCAGGTGTGACAGATAGTTGAGGATCAGTGGGACAGGTGCGGTAAAGGGATCGGAATCCCTTTCAACACACCAATCACTCCAGGCAGAAATATAGCCTTTCCTGGTGCCGGGAGCCTATGAGTCCCATAGGAGGTCTTAGTTGATGCAATAGGTCGTGAACTGACCAGGAGCCCCTGAAACCGTCCAGGCAACTAGTGCCAGTTGTCCTTCCATGACAAGGGAGTGAGCTTCCCCTCGAGGTCCCGTCAGAAGTAGAGGGAAGGTAGGGAGTAGTAGAGGGTCTTCGCGAGACATCTCCAGGCGATCCGGGAAATCACGGTTGGCCCTGCCCGAGGGGTGTCATGAGCAGGAGCGATATCTTGTGGGTGTGTGTATCGAAGCACCCTTGCTATTGTGGAGAACGGTTGGGTCACGTTTGCAGGGGTTCATCCATTGCCCCGTATCTGAAGGAAGAGTCAAAGATCGTTTTGCCAATCCAAGTTTGTATGTGAAGTAATCACCATCGAAATTCCATCCTCACTTCCGCTGACAGTGGGATCCAGTGGTCGTATGAGTGACCGGTGCGTACGTATCTCACCATTAGTCATAGTGGGCCAGGGAATAACGCTTGTATGGAGGAGGAGAGGAATCCCACAATCCGACAGCTATCCTTATAGAGGCGCTCTTTGCCGTAGACGGACGCGGAACGTAGTTCTCCAAGCCGATGTCGAAACCGAGGAACAGGCCCGATTCAGATGGAGAAGCGATCTTTGTCTGTGTACAACAAAAAAAAAACCCATGGAGTCCCGAAAGTGAACGACAAATTTGTCTGCAAACTTAGCCTGGATTCGTAAAGAATCAGCAAGTCTTCCAGGTATACGAGGCATCGCACACCCAAATTTACGGATGTGTGCCCTCACTGGTTACAGTAGGTTCGCGAGCACCACGGAGTCGTAAACTGCCGTGTTTGTCCTCACCATTGGAATCGGAGGAAAACTTCGGCAGTCCAGGGCAACGGGTACTGACAAGCGTGCGTCCTTGAGGTCCAGATGTGTAAACCAGTCGTTATCGCCTAGGAGGTCTTGTAGAAGACGAATTTCCTCCATCTTGCAGCATTTGTATACCATGTAGGAGTTCCATTGATGTAGTCTCCTGGCTTCTTCTTGACCAGGAAAAATTTGCTGGGGAAGCCTTCCCCTCCGGTGCATGTTGAATTGCGCCCCTCCTGAAGAGGGTGCAGATTTTCTTGTCCACGAGGCGTTCCTGTTCCGCCAGCGTGCGTAATGGAGGTGAAGGGGCGACCTGCACGGCTGTGATAAAACTCTATGACATAGCCTTGTACTGTCTGGAGAACCCAGGTGACTTTGGTAGTCGTCTCCCAATTCTGTAAAACAGAGACAGGTTGCCGGTCATAATATTGGAAACAGTTAGTTATGTAGGTTGACACACGAGTAGATGAAGCGGATGGGTTCCTTTGTGTAGTAGATGGGGGAAATATGAGGACTGTGTATACGATCTGGAACCTGTCGCCCAGAAGCGGCTGGTGGCTCGGTTCAGCTACCGACCAGTCCTCCCAGAAACACCTTTCCCCGTAGGGTTGTGGAAGACTTGTTTTAGCGAGGTCTGGGTTTAATTTAGTGTGGTGAATAAATTCACGTGTTTCTTGAGTACTGCAATGAACACTACGTCGAATAGTAGGCCTTGTGCTTTTGGGCCGAATTCTTGTCGTTCCTAAGTCCAATAGTGTGTTGTCGATGCGGCCCAGTACAGATTTGCGTCTGTCGGCGCATAGTGCGTCATTTACGTTGCCCAGGAGGCA